ATAGGACCCAAAACTAAGGTCAGATGTTAAGATTAAAAATTGCTTTTGTTTTTTATCATATCTTATAACTGTGTAGATAGGCTCATGTGAGCAAAGGTGTTGAAATATATAAACATATCATGTGTAAATGATATATTAATTCAGTGTTATATTATAATGTTTGTGTACTTGTTTCTTGTATTAGATTTGATTTCTCTCATTCTAGGCCTTAGGGGTATTATGCATCACATGTAATCATTGTCTTTCATTGTGTATAGATATTTTGAGTACATGTGAATGAATGTATACAGCAAAGGGCTTTGACAGTTTCTTTAATATGCTGTAGAATACTATGTATGTATGTAAAGTCGTGGGTGGCTTCGTTTTGGAACAATTTTAGAATAAATATTATTGTCTCTGACTCAGTGATGAATGAAATGGATTCCAAATGTTCTCACGGATTATGATAATATAATTTTTTGTCATTAATCACAATTCCTCTATATTTATTTTTTTAATGTATTATGAAATAAAGTTTTTAAAACTTAAGTAAGACCATTATTTTATTTGTTGTTCATTTCTGATGATTAAGTTTCTATGCAGTATGAACCGCCATTTCCAAATATTAAGCCTAAAACATATGCCCCCAACTCACACTGGCATGTGTTTCAGAAACTAGAATCAAAATTAATTGTTCATGAACTGAGTGGTTAATCTTGGAAGTGGAGGAAACTGTACATATTATCTTAAATTTCTTCATAATCAAACAGGGATTCTCCATGAAAGCAGCAGCACAGAAAATCTTCAACCAGGTGACAGCAATAGGGAAGAGGAAGTGTGATGGCAATCAAGAAAACACTGGATTAAAAAGAAAGCAAAAGACCCAAGACTTAGTTCCTGTACCTGAAGAAACAGCTAATGCAAAACAATTACAAAATTCTTTGGTAGTGTATCAGGACCATTCTTCTTCAGTACTTGCAGATGGAGCTGTACAAAGTTACAAAGAAAAAAGTTCAAGTGCCATAAGTTTTGATCTTGGCTTTCAGGATATCATGGGTGATACAGGAAATGAGTTTGAAAAGATAGAGCAGTGTGGAAATAAGTCTTTTGTTAGTAATGATAAAAATGATAAAAATAATTCAAATCAAGACGCATCCTCTTCAAATGGAGTGTTTAAAGTGCCAAATCTTGCTCTTTGCAAAATAAAAAGTTTAATTTCAAATACATCTAAGACTTCAGCTATTAATAATTCAAAAACACCTAAACAATCTTCGGGTACACCAAAACTATTAAATCATACCAGTATTGAAACACCAGTGAGCTGCAATAACAATAGAAGAGAGGGTTTGTCAGATATGTCTACTAACGGCATTCAGAATAGTGAGTTAAATAGATCTGAATTTAATGTCTCATTGTTTGATGTTCAGGGTTTTAAAAAGACTCCTCCCCTGTGTGACTGTGGACGAAGAGCTAAGCTTCTCCTTGTGTCCAAACCAGGTCCTAACCAAGGAAGACATTTTTTCTCATGTCCCAATGGAAAGTCTAATCTGAAAAGATGCTGTACTTTCTTCAAGTGGGAAAATGAACCATACATAAAATCATCACCCAAAGGGAACAGTTTCAGGACACCATTTGCAAATCTGAATAATCATCTTTTATCTAAAACTTTACCAATTCACAGATCGATGAACAAGCAAAAAACATTAGGTATTCGAAGGGTCTACAGTGAAGTAACTCATAACAAGAGATATTATGCACAAAAGGCCAAATTTGGTGAAGGAACATCTGCAGACTCTGTATGTCATGATGAAAACTCTGCCGATGTATCAGTTCAAATTACTCCATACATAGTGAAGACGAAGCAAATGTGTAGCAGTAATAACAAATAAGTATTACTGTAAAATTTGTTCCTTTGTGTAAAGTATCTGCAAAAATATGGGATAACATACATGCATGCCTGCAAATAGAGATAAAGCATGAACTACCATATATGTTTTGATTTAATGATTTTATGCAACATTCATTAATTAAAATATGATTGATCCTTAATTATTTCTTTTATATGATATTTAAATATTAAAAGGTACTTCAAAGAAACAATTAAAAGTCAATTTGATGATATATAAGCTATGCTGGATGTTAATATTCTTTAAACAGTTCTGCATAACCTGTTGCATCACAGAGAAAAAGAAATTTTCAGCTTAATGTTTAAAGATATAATAAAGAGGAGTGATGAAAATGTGGGTAAATCTGTAACAAGTTATTTTGACTTCATAAGTGACAGATGTATACACCGTTTTCCTTTCTTTTCCTTTCCTTTCCTTTTTTCTTTTCTTTTCTTTTCTTTTCTTTTCTTTTCTTTTCTTTTCTTTTCTTTTCTTTTCTTTTCTTTTCTTTTCTTTTCTTTTCTTTTCTTTTCTTTTCTTTTCTTTTCTTTTCTTTTCTTTTCTTTTCTTTTCTTTTCTTTTTCTTTTTCTTTTTCTTTTTCTTTTTCTTTTTCTTTTTAATTTTTCTTTTTTCTTTGACACATAGATGACTTCACAACTAACCAGGGAGTCACTTGCTAGGCCTACTTCACATCAATCATTTACCTCATTCCTAAAAAATTATGGAAGAGTTTATTTAGGGTTTATTACTATTATAATTATAATTAATGATATAATTATGTTAATAATGAGAATAATAAAGATTATTATATTAATATTAATAATAATAATAATAATAATAATAATAATAATAATAATTATAATAATATTTGTAAAACTAATACAAGTAACTTCAAGTCAGGTAGGTCAAGTAATTGACTCCTTAATGACCAAATGCTTTTGGAGCCATCTAAAACAATGGCCTAGTCAGTTAACATATTGTGTACAAATAATATATGACTTAAATTTTTTTTCACTTTCTTTATCAGCCATCCTCAATATAGTAAAGGAAAAGAAACACAGCTCTTTTAATGTAAATGTAAGCACTATCAGCCCAATGTATCTGAGATTATAAGGATACCACATAAATTAGCCAAGCATGTGCAAAGCATCTGTCTGCCAATTTTAATCTATATATGATAGTGAAATAACAGGTGTTTGCTTGTATGATACCTTTGTCTATAATTCAATAATAATAATTCTGTACTCTAGATGCCCCTAATCTCTTGCCCATTGCTATTGTGGGGGGCTTAGGAGACAAAGACTGAGACCCAGTGTTGGGGATGTCCCCTACCTTGGGCCTCAGCCCATGGCTCAATTAATTTTTCATGGTCTTTTCTTCTTCCCTTTCCATTTCCTTCTCTTCTCTTCCCTTCTACTATCTACTTCCTAAGGTATGACTGTGTTGAAAGGATGAAAGGATGACTTTCTGCCAGTCATGAACAGCCTTCAGGGGCTATAGGCACGGCATTCCTGTTTAGGTGTCTTGTAGGCTCGTGACTGCTGACATGAAATGTTATTAAATTCCAAGTATAATCTTTATTGATTCCACAAATGTATTGTAAAAGGTAATCTTTGAAGACAGTGATATATATAATCCTTGAGACAAACTTAGAAGTCCTGGAATATATTTTTTGAAAATAAATAAAGCTCTGGATTATTATCTTGTTTGTTTTTACCAATTAATATTAGCTGATAATATGTATATATGTATATATGTCTGTGTGTATATGTATATAATATGTATATGTATATATATGTATGTCTGTGTATATATATACACATATATATGTATATGTATATACATATACATATATATACATACATACATTATATATACATATATATGTATATATATAATTTATATATACCTATACACATACATACTTTTTTTACCATAACAGAAAAAAGTATATGCATGCACACACACATTCATGTATATACATATGTATATGTATATGTACATATACATATATGTATATGTATATATATATATGTATATGAATATATATATATGTATATGTATATGTATATATACATATATCTATATATCTATATCTATATCTCTCTCTCTCTCTCTCTCTCTCTCTCTCTCTCTCTCTCTCTCTCTCTCTCTCTCTCTCTCTATATATATATATATATATATATATATATATATATATATATATATATATATATACACACACACACACACACATACATATATATATGTATATATACATACATATATGTATATATACACACATATGTGTATTTATATATACATATACATATAATACACACACACACACACACATACATATGTATATATACACTTATAAGTGCATATATATATATATATCTATATATCTATATATATATATATAATATATATATATATATATATATATATATATATATATATATATATATACATATATATACATATATATACATATATATATACATACATATATACATACATATATACATACATATATACATACATATATACATACATATATACATACATATATACATACATATATACATACATATATACATACATATATACATATACACGCACACGTACACGCACACGCACACACACACGCACACATACACAAACACACACACACACACAAACGCACACACACACACACACACACACACACGTAACCTTTAAAGGTAAATATTACATGAAAGCATATACGTTTTCCTTTTATTGAAAAATAATATATAATTGCTTGTGTAACAATTAATTTTTTTTTATTATAAAAGTAAGTCTAACACATCTGAATGAACTTCCAAAAACCATAATGACGACTTATAGAAACAGAAAAATCTAACCAAATATTATAGTATACTGCAATATACTGATTGGCATACTTAAGTGTTCCTTTTATCACAAATTCTTTGTAAGTAAATTTCTAGTAATACTTCATATCTAAAATGTCATGTGAATGAACAATTTGCTCAAGTAATTTGATCATTTTGTGATTCAAAAACATTTATTTGCTAATAATCAGGTATTAATTACTTTAATATAATCATTTAGTTACCAAATGGTAATAAAAAATAAGAATATAATTATTCCTAATAGGACTTGATAAAAGGATTTCTGAAATAAATCAAATCACAATGAAACCAGAAAAAAACAATGCACAGAACGACATAAAGTGATGGAATATACACTGACCAGCTTTTAGACAATTTCATCCACAAAAAAAATGAAGACAAACATACAGATATGTTTTTCACTGTTTACTTCATAACTAAAGAATCAGTTAAATGGAGCAACATTTGATTATATTATATATATATATATCCCAGCCTTATAGTTATGCATAATGTAAATAATTGTTTCATGTTCAATCAAATTTCCTGACATACTTTGGTACACTTATATGCAATGATGATCTTGATCTCTCCAGTATGTGGGAACAAATCACACTCTGTATCTGGGAAAATTATTATATTCCCAGCTGGCAGATCCACAAAACTAAATTCTGCAAATAAAATTCATATATATAACAAAATTGTATTTTTGGGGGAACTTAACTTTAAGTACAATAATATGGTTAGACTTCTTTGTAAAATCTGACAAGCTGGTTTGGGGTCACAGTTTAAGAATAATCTTCATCTTCATCAATTGCCTGTTGTTCCTGCTGTTGCTGTTGAGCAGCTGCCGCTTGTGCTTGCAGCATCTGCCACTGCTGCTGCTCAACCATTTCCACTTGCTCTCGCGCCTATGTTGGAAAGACAAAAGAAAGAAATATTAATGGAAAATTTCCCTTTACTTGGTATGAGATGCAGATATACCACAATAGGACAATGATTATCCTACTAGCCACCTGTTAATAATAATCATCCTAAAACTAACCTTTGCAAAAAGCTCTTGTTGCTGTCTGAGTAATTCTTCTTCTGGGATGCCAAGGTTTTCTAAGCGGGTGCTTTTTCTTCTCTTCTTGGCTGCCATTGCTTTGCAGTCTTTGAGCACAGCCTCTGCATCCGCTCTATAGTCACCAAAACCAAGTTTATCTAACGCTGTGGAGAATTACTTGATTTGAAAATATTATAATGAAACAGACAGTTGGTAAATCACAAAAAATTCTTATGGTAAGATGCTACGGTTATATGACTTACATATAAAATAAATCTATCTGTTGTAAATCCATGAAATGAACTATTCCATCAATAACATATCAGGGCTTCAGAATCTGCCCTTGAATTCTGATCTATGAACTTCTAATGCAACGAAACAGATGGTGACTTACACATTAGTATATGTTCAGCATTGATTGTTTTCTTTTGCTGTTGGTTGCAAATCTCATTCGCCTCTGAGGACAGCAAGTGGATGAACTCAGTGCAGCAATTCAGGATCAGTTCCCGAGCCTCATTGGCAACACGTACGTTTGGCAAGAGCTCTTTGATCATCTTGTTCATTGCTGCTCGGGGGATAGTGAGCTCATCATCTGGCTGGTCACTGGACACACTCATGGCTGTGAAAACAATAGTCAGGTTATTTAAAGCATCCTAATTGCAAATTATATGTATCACTATTAGTTATGTTATCAAATATTTGGGAATAAAAGAAAAGAGAGAAAAAAATTATGGTTTCCTTGTGTCACAGAAATTAAGACAAACTTGAACATGGACCAGAATATAGTAAAAATTAAACCTAGAAAGCCATGGTGGATCTAACTAAAAGGCCTTGATCATACAGACTAGAATACCCTCTTTACAAGGACTTAGAGATAAGACTGTTTGCTGTATCTAACTTATATTCAATAATCTAAAAAGATATTGATATACAACTACTATATATCATTACAATATTGCAATAATCAATTTCACACAGAAACATCTGCTCACTTGGTACTGTATATGAATATATATTTATATATACATATAAATATAAATATAAATAAATAAATAAATATATATATATATATATATATATATATATATATATATATATATATATATATATATATATATTATATATATATATATATTTATATATATATATATATTTATATATATATATATATTTATATATATATATATATTTATATATATATATATATTATATATATATATATATTTATATATATATATATATTTATATATATATATATATTTATATATATATATATATTTATATATATATATATATTTATATATATATATATTTATATATATATATATTTATATATATATATATTTATATATATATATATATTTATATATATATATATATTTATATATATATATATATTTATATATATATATATATTTATATATATATATATATATATATATATATATATATATATATATATATATATATATATTTATATATATATATATATATATATATATATATATATATATATATATATATATATATATATATATATATA